TATTACTAAGGTGATTGTGTCATTTTTTAATTTGGAAATACTTTGTTTGGTTAACAATAATTAATTTTTAGGAATTAAAGTTCGTTATGTTTGGTATTACTAAAAATCTAACATTATTTTGTTTGAAAATACCAAAATAACTATGCATATTGTAATAGTTACACAAGTTAAAGCTTTCAATGTGATTTAAAGATAATAATTTATAAAATATTGTAATATTTTATTTACTTCATAAAAAAATATAATTAAGTTATTAAATTAACAAATATATTATTGATAGATAAAATAATTTTTATAATATAAATTATGTAAAAAACATTTGAATTAAAAAATAAAATTAATTTATTAAAATCATAACAGAAAAAAAAAAGATTATATTATGCATGAAACATTAAAAAAGTTAAAAGAAAATACACAAATTATTTTTAAATTTCTTACAATTGAAAATATAAAAACTTATAATATAAAATAAAATTTTGAGAGAAAGGAAATTTTTAACTCACATATTAAATGATTAATATTGATTATTGTTAATTTTATATATCATTTCACTTTGGTGATAAAAGTTTTTACCATTTTGAGTGGGAATTAGATCGCTTTCCAAGATAGTGATTTTATCACTCTTGATGGTCCAAGATAACTGTCACATAGGATTACTGAGTGCTTACCAAACATAGTAATCTAATCAGTGTGTGGATCATCATGGTTTTTGAAGTGATCACCCCATACAAAACACTGCCTAAAAAAAATTGAAAGTTGAACATAAAAATAAGGTCTCTAATAGGATATTCTTTTTCTTTGCTACTTCTTTCTCCTCACTGAAACTTATCTAATTTCTCCCTCTAACAACCTGAAGAGGCTGTTGCCTCCTTGGCCAGTTCAATTCCCACATTTTTGCAGGTTGGAAAAGAAGAAAAATCCAATATCTCCGTACCTTTTTAAATTAAAATATTTCATAATGAAGGATCTTGATGTGTATTTGATGGGAGAGCTTAAATCAACAATCTCTTATGATATCAGTGTCATGGATGATTTTACTTTAAAATATATCAAACATTTAAAAAAAAAAATTCCGGGCCTCAAATTTTCTGTTTAATAGATAATTCCATGTATATGTTAAGGGTTCTACCATTTGGGAGACCAAAATTTAGGGCGGAGAGAAAATTTTTTGTTTTTAATAACCCAAGCTGTCCAACCTATACAGGCCTATATAAAAAGAAGTCAAATATGAAGCCCAAATGTACTTTTATCAAAGAGTTAAAATCAATCAATAAATAAAAAATAACATTGATGAGTCTAATAGTGGAGCCAATGGAGAAGTGAGAATATCTTTGATTCCTTGATCATCAATTTTGCAGCCTTTTCTTTTTAACATTTCAAACCTGGCTTAACAGAAAGAAAACACAATTAAAAGGGGTTATGATGGCCAACCTTTCTTATTTTGGTGTTTTACTCTTTTTCAAGAATCAACTTTCATTGCATTAATCCTTTTTCATCTGAAAACAAAACACGTACACAGCCAACTGGCGGTCAGCCATGATGGTCTTTCTACGAGCATAGGTCACTTTAAATTTAGTAGATCCAAAGATTGTTAATCTTCATCTCTTCTACCAGTGCACCACACTTCTGGAAGCAGTCTTACATAATTTTGATGTTTTTGTTTTATTATGTTGAGATTCTTATTCATGGCTTAACTGCCTTTGAAGTATTTTTCTTTTCTTTTCTTCTATTTTTTAGAAATTTAAAAAATATGAGATGATGATTTAATGACAAAAAAAGAAATTGGAAATAAGTAAAAAACAAAAATGACTTCAGGAAATAAGACTTTAATTAAAAAAATCCAACTAGGTAAGGATCTGCTCCATTCTTTCTGCACTTTCTTGTTTTCTCTCTAAATGGATTTCATTCCAAAATCCCTCATTACTCTGTGTCAATACCCTTTTTTTGGTTCCTCTTGACATGAGCTTTCTATTTAACCTTTGGCCTATATTACTGCATAACCTCATGGAGGCACTTCATGTTTTTGGCTTTCCATTGTCTCGTGTTTTTGTCAACTTGGATAATATGCTACTATGTTATTAATGTGCATAAAGGAAACTAAATTTGCTTAAACTCTTCTCACTTCACATTGAAATTGTAGATTTGTCCTTGAAAAGAGACACACTTTAAGCTCAATTATTGGACAAGGTCTAGTTTGTTTTGCTTCATTTCTTTTTCACTTCCAATTTGTAGAGGCAGTATTATAATTAGTAGTGAAGGCAGGTTTGTCTTGTTAGTTCCAAAAGTAGTTTTACCTTTTTTGGGTTAAATTTCAACGAGTTTGTCATTGGGCCATATACATATAAAGATGCATATACTTAGAGATTGCAAAGGAGCTTCTGTTAAATGTTCAAATGGTTATTGTTGGAAGTGGAAACATTTCCCTCCACCCCAAAACAGAAATTACCTTCTTGCATTTCTATTTTAGCATGTCCTAAAAATAAGGGTGTCTGTCAACTGGTTTACTCATTACATAGTGCACAAAGAAGCTCATTAGAGCTTGTTTGCCTTTGTTTATCAAGCTAACTGAACAAGTACAAACAAAATTGCAAATTCATTTAATAAAAATAAGGTGAGCTTTGAATATAAATAAACTTCAGTTGTTTTGTGTTGATAAAGTTGATAACCTCTCATGAACAGGCTTGATAGAAAGCTCAATAAAATCTTGATAAGAGCTTGTTTTATCATTTTTTTAAGTTGACCATGTAGGCTTTGATGTCTTCTGACAATGTTCAAATCACAATTTAGTATTTATATCATTGAAAAGGACTGAACATATATTAACTTAATCCATAATTTTTAAAAATATATTATTGCAGAATAAATTTTTATGTGCTCAAAGATGGGTGCATGACAACGTTGAGATGTGGGAAGGAGAAGACACATTCTCTTCCCAGCCATACCATCTGACGTTACCACAGGATACAAGGGGAGGGCATGTGCATGATCCCAGTTAAGTCAAGAGCCTCTTTGGCCTATGAGATGTAATTGGTAATAGATATGTCATTAAGGGTCTATTATAGATGACATTGCTATTACCATGTTTGATTGGAGTTTTAGGGTGGAGTGGCCTGTGTGAAGCTGGAAAAGCTAATGTGCCTCATCCCTAGGTAATAGCTATTTTGGGGAGCCAGGAATAGAAGCACTATTCACATTACAAATTTATCCTTGCAATTTCTTCTTAATTATAGTTATGTCCATAGAGAGAAGGGGAAAGACATATGTAGGAGGAAGATTTTGTTGTCTTTGACTACTAGACTTTGTCAGGGGTAGCACCAAATTGCTCGCCATTGGCCAAAAGTAATAACATTTAGTTGCTGGGACGACAAAATCTCACTCCAATGACTATAGTTGTGGCAAGATGGAGCCAAATGGCTGGTTGGCTTGGTTACTAACATGAGAGAATTGCTTCCCTACAACCACATCAAGTTGCTACCACAGACCAAATCAGTTTCTGGTCATTAGCAACCATATTTGGTAATAGGTGAGTAAAATGGTACATTGGCATGAGATCTGATCTTCAGTTCAGCCAAATTGCCTTGCTGGCGGTGACCGGGTTTAGTCTCTCACCTCTCGCATTGCTGCTGTTTGCATTGCTACAACAGCATGTACTGACAAGAATTGGTTAATGGCAATTCCAAATTCTTGCACCGGCAAACTGACTTGCTAGTGTCTATGAGAATCAAGGACATAGGAGGATAAATAAGGGGGAAAACCAAAAATGGAGGGAAAAAGGAAAAAAAATGTAGAATACAGATGAAAAATATGAAAAAAAACTGCAGAAAAAAAAAAGAAAAAAAACATAAAAGAGAAAATTAAGCAAAACTAAATGAATTTTTCTGAGAATAAAAATAACTTAAAATGATTTATATCTTTAAAACTACATTTAGATGTCTTTATTTTTATTTATTTTTATTTTTTATAGATGTGATTCTAATATGTATTTATGAAAAAATTGTACTTAAAAGATTAATTTGAAATTCTAGGTCAAATTGGCACTCTATATTTTTTCCTAATATATTTCATCATACTATTTTAGCTAACCAAATAATTTAGTACTATTTCAATGCGGTTTAATATAACGAACTGAAGCATGTAGAGCTATTCCATTTGGATTCCCACTCTATTCCATTGCCTCTTTTCTTTCCTTAAATCAAACATGACCTCTGGATTTAATGGCTGCTTAAGTGGGCTTCAATCTAAGCCACCGAACCTATGATCCTTTGTTAAGTGTAAAGCTCAGTTAACTCATAGGAGGAGAAAAGTGGGGAGATGAGATTGAAGGACACAGGAAGATAGATGAGGGGAAAACTAAAAATTTAGAAAAAAGGGAAAAATATAGGATAGTGATGAAAAATATGAAGAAAACCACAAAAAAATTAAAAAACTTATAGAAGAAAATGACAGCAAAATTAATTGAATTTTTCTGAGAATAAAAATACCTTGAAATGATTTATATCTTTAAAACTACATTTAAGATGTCTTTAATGTATTTATGTCTTTAAAAAGTCTAAGTTCATCAAGCAATAGTTGACTGTCGTAAACTTGCAAACATGATCTTGCTTCCTCTTTCTGAAAATTCATACTTTAATGAACGGAAGAGCTGAACCAAACCTCTTCATTCCAGGGATTATAGCTGAGTAAATTTATTATTAGGAGAGACTTTTTTTAAGTTATACTTTAAAAATTTTCAACAAATGAACTAGCATTGCCAGTAGGCTTTGCTTGATGGCCCTGGTGAATGAGGCAGTTTATGTAGGTGTTTGAGACAAATTCTTGTTCCCCTCCTGTCTTTTGCTACTGCTTGCAAGGGTTGGGGTATCATGGCCACTGATAGAAGAATCCTGTATAAGTGATTGAGGAGAAATATGTAAGCTTCACTTTGTACTATCTAAACTTGCAAACAATGCTATACTTTATTAAACGTAGAAGGATAGCATTTCCTCCATGTATTATCTCGCTACTGTCTGAAGCATGATTCCTCTTTCTGATGTTAGGGACAATTTTTTCTTATTTTGTTAGTGTACACACTATTTTGTATAATGATTTTGGTTCCACTTTTACTTTAATTTTGTTTCAGCTAGCAAAGGTTCAATGCCCTAGAGATACTCATTTTTGGCTATACGATGATGGATCTTATGAGGAAGAAGGTCAAAATAACATCAAGGGCAAGATATGGGAAAAGGTTCTCTCGTAATCCGTACATTGGATATAAGTTTTAAAATTCAACAAGTGTTGAATTGATTTTTTACTCAGTTGCATTTTGATTTTTGGTAGGCAGGCTTTTACTCGTTTTTGCTGTTCATTGTTTTCGCTGCCTGTACCACCTGCAAATCCTCATGGGCTACAAGAAGATCCAACGACCTTTTCAGGTCGGTCAGTCCCTGAGTATTTGGAGCAGGGAAGGGTACAGAAGTTGCTATTATTTGGGTTGGAAGGATCTGGAACCAGTACTATCTTCAAGCAGGTGGTTTCAAACTATTTTGACTGCATGCATGTTGCTTTCATTTTTCCTGCTTCTATCAGCATTCCTTGGTTAATATAAGTTGTAGTTTTTATCAGCTAAGCTTTCTTCTTATGATTAGGTAAAATACTTATTGCTGTTTGTAGGCTACAATCAAATGTCTGATCCTTCCTTTATATATATTTTTGCTGGTCTTGCTCTTAATATTGGCAAATATGGTCTTAGCTTCAATGCAATCCTTGTACTGCAAAATTTTTCATTGTTTTCACTTTTCTATCATCGTGCTGGAGGGTTCAGAGAAGGATATTTTTTAATATGCTTAGCTCTTTGTTGATACAGCTTGGCTTTTCCCCATCCACAAATTTTTTCAATATCGATTGTAGCAACTTGTCAACTGAACTAACACACCAAATGTTCTCCTTGTTACAGTTTCATTTTTCTGCTTTCTAATTGCACATTGTCTTGATCTCAAATTTGTACAATTTAAGGTCTGATAATGGATAAGAATCAACTGGATACTGGTTTTATAATGCCTTTTCTGATCTTCGGAGCAATAACTTACATTCTTTTCTGCCTATTTAATGTACTAGTCTTCAATTAAAAAAATACATGTTTTCATTTGGCTTTTAACTATATCAACTTTTTACATCCAAACAAACTATCATTGAATTTTGTAATGGATGCTTTAATATTCCCTTGAATAGCATTTTTTCTTTTTGATTAAATCTGTCAGTGGTCCTTGGTACTTCATCAAATTCCTTCATTTTGTCCTATTTTTATGTCAAGCCAATTAATCACTCTGCTTAGAGTTTTGGTACAATCAAGTAAAACTCGTAACACTTTTATGTGCTGTAAACCATGCTGACATGACATCTAGGTGGCTTTTCTTGTTTGATGTGGTGATGACATGGCATATAAAAAGTATTAAAAATAATACTTCCATTTACATGAACATTCATGGGAATTATGTGGGAAGATTTAATCTAGTTTTCTTTCAATTTTTATTTTTCCCATTTGTATCGGATCTTTCTTTGTTTTAATTTTCTTTTCCTTTAAAATATTTGAATACTTATAATGTTTTTCTTTCTTTAATTTATTTTCTGTTTTTCTCCTTCTGTTTTCTCTTCTCCCTCATCCTTTCCTTTCATTGGTGCCGGACTGGTGTTTGGGCCAATCTGGATAATCCAGGCCAGCCAGCACCATTCTGATGGTTGCAACCCCTTATCTACTCTACTCTATTTTTCTCCCTCTCCGTTCCTCCCTTTTTCTTTGTTTTGACTTCCTCAGCATTGGATCTAGCCGAATGGTTGACTGTGCTGGCTTACCTGATCCTGTACAAAAAGGGGGTTGTTGATGGTTTGTCCCCTCTGTCACTTTCTTCCTCTCTCCCTCTTCCCTCTTCCCTCTTTGTATTTTTCCCTGATTATTCTTGACCCTGGCTTGCACCAAAACATTGGAAGACGGCTAGATCCCACCCATGGACAATCCCTTCCCCCCACCCCATCTTTCTCCCTCTTCTTTCTCTCTCTATTTCTTTTTTTCTTATTTTAATTGTTATTTCAATTCAAAATGAAAAAAAAAGGATGGAAAAGGAAGAAAATGGAAAACTAAAGTAGGAAAGAAAAGGTTATACATGTATTCAAAAATTTCAAAAGTCAAAATAAAAATAAAAAGAAAGATATCGAGTAGATGAGAAAACAAAATTGAAAAAAAAAAAAAATCTTGTCATGTAATTGCCAAAGAATAAAAATGTTCATTTTGGAATTATTGTTAAAACAATATTTTTTTGGTGCAATATCATCACTATGTCAGATAAAAAAGCCAATTGGTTGCTATCTCACCATGGTTATGCCACAAAGTAATGGTGTTAATAGTTTTATTTGATTGTAAAAAACTCAATTGTAGAAGGATTAATGTCTTGAAATAAAATTAGAATGGCTACATTGAATGATTTGACCAAGTATAGGGCCTTTGGCAAATTTATTGTTTCTTATGCTAGAAGGCCAATCTTTTTTTGGTAACACATTGTCTTTTAATCCATTGGACAGGCTAAGCTTTTATATGGGAATGGGTTTTCTCAAGAAGAGCTGCAGAACATCAAGCTTATGATTCAAAGTAATATGTACAAATATCTTAGTGTATTACTTGAAGGACGGGAGAGGTTTGAAGAAGAAGCTTTGTCGGAGCTAAGAACTACTAATTTCGATACTGAAGTGTCTGCTTCAGGTCTCAATATTACTACATCTCCTTTCCAATGTTTTATCCTAATTTTATGGTAGTAATTTTTCTGCCTGTTGATGCAGGCCAGTATCAGCCACTTCTTTGTTCTGTCTATTTAACTACCCTTCCTTGATAGATAATTTTAGGATTGTAACTACAATGATGACCTTCTTAGTGACCTGAGAAACCAAAAGTTATCAAGAAGTTGATTTTTCTGATGGTAAGATGATGTGTATAACCATTGAATGGAGGTTTGAGTTGACTGTCTTGTTGTTTTTATAAGTTGGATGTTGCATGAATGCTTACGGGAGTTCTAGTTAGACATGTTCTGCTATATACAAGATTGGATATTAGTTGTCTTGCTGATTAAAGTTAAGAAGCAATTAACTGAATTTAAATTTGACATAAGATATCATGAATTTAAGGGACTTTCTAACATTGTATGGAAATTAAATGGTCTCTGGGTCTGATATGGAAGCAATGCATTGGTTAATGACATAAGGTATCCCAGATCTTTAAGAATATTTTGTCAGTACTTTTAGGACACGAGATTGGGGAAGAATGTCAATTTTGGGTAGATGTTGCTCCTGATTACTGATAGGAGATGACTTCACCTATGTAAAAGAAAAGGACATGGAAGTGGACTAATGTGCTAAGTCTTTTTTGTTTTCTTCATTTTATGATTTCTCTAATTCCTACTTTAGTATGAATAATAAGACTTTTGTCTAGGTTAGCTGGTCTGTCTGCTAGAACTAGACTGGTATATAGCAAGCTGTTTCAACATGATTACATCAGTGCTGGTATTGACAATAGTTCTGTAAATGATGAAACTGATGTTTTTAGATGTAGAGATGGCATCTAGAATACACTTAAGAAAATAATCTCTTAAATAAATGTTCATATGTGTACACATATACATACATCCATTTTTTCTATATCTATAGACGTGCACGTGCATATAATGTGTACATGTTCCTCCCCCGCTCAATCTCATTGTGAAATTTATACATTTATAACCTTTTTTTGCATTATCTTTGAGAACACATGCATAGGTGAATAATTGGCCACGGTGAACAGTTCAAAATTAGAAATTTTGTACTAAACCTTGCAGTAGCATGATTTCTGAGTTTCTAGAACTGTATCAGGGACTTCATTATACAATGGCTGATTGAATGTGTTTCTTCAATATCCTGTTTAAAGTACTGCTTTTAATAGTTCATTTCACAGCATTCTTCATATCATTTTCTGTCCTTTTAGACTGTTATAACTTAAACATAAGAGTTACCATTTCCTATTGATCATTCAACTATAATTTTTAACATGTTATTAGAGAAAAGATTTCATTTTAAATCCTAGGAAATTCAACCCCTTTTCATTAATTCGTTGCCTAGAGTTTGCATATTAAGTTTATGAAAATGCTCTTTATCTCTCTTTAGCTTTCACCTGTTGTCTATAGTTTGGTTCACAGAAAAGGCCATTAATGATTCATTGGCTAAAATGTTAGGAGGCATGTTAGACTTAAATATAAAAGACAGGTCCTTTCCTATCAATTTAAGCTTTTGGGATGGTGACAAAACTATCTGTTTAACATAAACTGTATAATTTTGCTTGTACTTAACATGAAATAAGCATAATGCATATACCATGTCCTCTTATATTGTCATCTGAATGGAAGCAGTTTTGCCCTTCCACAGTTGGCCTTGCATCAAGGAATACCAATCTGAAGACTATGACAGTGCATTTACATGTAGCATACGAGGGTATTCTTCTTGTTCCATTGAACAAATAAATTATTATGTGCTAATTGTGAAAATCGAATTCAGATCAAATAGGAGTTGATGGAAATAACCAGTGTATCTATTCGATTAACCAAAGGTTCAAACCATTTTCTGATTGGTTATTGGATATTATGGCTATGGGAGACTTGGATGCATTCTTTCCTGCTGCAACCCGTGAGTATGCTCCTATTGTAGATGAGATATGGAAGGATCCTGCCATTCAGGAAACATACAAGAGAAGTGAGGAATTGCATCTTCTTCCAGATGTTGCCAAATACTTCTTGGATCAGGTATGAAGCATCAGTTTATCTTTGTGTGTTTAATGAAGTATTTATCAGTTAACTAGGTTATCTTCTTATTTTTATCTCTTTCATGTGTCATTATTATCAGATATCAAATTTTGCTTTATGAATTTGAGTAGGAAGGCATGGTTATTGTCAATCAGATTAATTATGCAATAGATTTCAGTTAATTTCATGTTATCTCCCGTTGCTTGGTCAAGTAAAGAACATTAATGATCAAACTCATAGATGGTCTTGGAGTAAAAGCAAGAAGACACCACCAACATGACGTTGTTGTTATCATTAACCTTTCAAGGAACAAGAAATTCAATTGAGAAAGAGTCATGAAGTTACAGTTGTGGTGATGCAGGACAGGGAGTGAAGGTTTGTGGCAATTTCATGATCTGAAATTCTTGAGGAAAATCAGGAAAATTAATTGCATCACACAACCATGTAAGCAATACTGGTGGAAATGGTCTGATATTATACTATCTCTATTATGATTTGACAGAAAAATAAAATATCCATGACTTTAACTTAAAGAAACATAAACATAAGACTAAAATTCGGCTAATAAAGCCTACACTAGCTCCCAATTTTGCTTCTAGTTGCTGGACATGTGCCAAATTAACATTTGGGGCATTAGGATTAGCCTTAGCATGCCTTGTGGAAAAACTAAAAAATAAAACTGTATAGAAAACTAAGAGTAAAACTGAATGTATATTAAAAAACTGTTCATAAAGAATTATACAAGTACCTTAGGTTTATATACAACTAACTAGTGGGTAAATTAGAAAACTAAATCTTCCTAAAACTGATCCTATAATTGAGGGATTGTCTATTTTAATTTTTTGTCCTTAATTCTAGGGTTACAAATACTTAATTCTAGAGATACAAATATAAATAGAGATTACAAGATTGCTATCAGCTGTAAATAAATGTTTTCCCACACTCCCCCTTAAGCTGGTGAAAAGGTGTTTTCCATTCCTAGCTTGGAAATAATTTCTTGAAATGTTGCACTATTGAGACCTTTAGTCAACACATCTGCCAGTTGACCCTTGGTTGATATATAGTGTACAAATCAACCCACTGTCTAGTTTCTCCTTTATGAAATGCCTGTTTACTTCAATGTGTTTTATTCTATCATGTTGCATGGGATTGTGTGCAATGCTTATTGCAGACTTGTTATCACAGTAAAGTCTCATTGGTCCATCCCACTTGATCTTCAAGTCTTCTAGGATAATTCTTTAACCATTATTAGTTCACCAAACTTCCTTGAGCCATTGCTGAGCTCTGCTCTCAACCACTTGATCTTGCCACCACATTCTGTTTTTTACCCCTCTAAAATCACAAAGCATTACCAAACTAAGAATGTGCATATTAGCCTGAGGTGGATCTTCTTATGCAGTTACTAAACCTGGCTATATCAGCCATTTGTATATGCCTCTAGAACTAGCCCCATATTTTTTTTTCGAATAGATTACTCTCCCAAGACTGCGTCTTCAAAATAGCTGCCAATACATGCAATAGACAGCTTGTAAGTGCCACTCTTAGGACTATGCATAATTTGAACTTATTCACACTCACAGCAATGTTATATCAGCTCTAGTATATGAGAGATAACAGAGTCTTCCAACTAATGTCTGGTATCATTTCTCTATCTACAGCAGCATCTCATTACCTCTCCAAGTTTTGAGAAAATTGAAGAAGCTCGAGAGGCTCTCAATTCCTGTCAAAAGATCCATCACATATTTTTGTTGTGAGATGAAAATACCATGCTGTGAGTCAGCTACTTCAATATCCCTAGGTCTTTTATTTCAAATTCTCTAGCTAAACATTGTTTTAGAGATTCTCTCTCTTTTTCATCATCTCCAGTTACAATTATATCATCAACATACACTAATAGAACTGTGACTCTCTCTAAATCAGAGTGCTTGATAAACAATGTGTGATCTCCTTGACCCTGCTTATATCCCATTGCTAGCATCATTTTGGCAAACTCTCGAACCAAGCCCTAAGAGACTGTTTAAGGCCATATAAAGCCTTTTTCAACTTGCATACTTTGTTTGCTTCTAGATGACGTCCAAATCCCTGTAGAACCTTCATATTTATTTCTTTTTCCAAATCACCATGTAGAAAAACATTCTTTACATCAAATTGTTGAAGCTGTCAATTGTAATTTGCAGCCAATAATAACAAAATCCTAACTATATTCATCTTGGCAATAGAAGCAAAAGATTCCTGATAATTCGCTCCATAAGTTTGAGTGTAGCCCTTAGCCACCAACTTGGCTTTATACCTTTCAACAATACCATCCACCTTGTATTTTACAGTGAAAACCCATTTAAACTCAATTGGATTTTTTCTTTAAGCAACTCTACCAGTTCCTATGTCTTATTTTTCTGTTAGGCCTTCATTTATATTTTCATGGCTTGCCTCCATTTCTCATTGGATAATGCCTCGGATAATGTAGTTGGAACATAAATAGTGTCTAGGCTCATAAGAAAATTTTTGTGGAATGGTGAGAATTTTTCAAATGACACAAAATCAGAGATTGGGTATAGTGGACGCTTGGTACATTCTCTAGTTCCTTTCCTAATGGTAATAGGCAGAACATAATCACTAGTTATGGTTTTAGGAGATTCATGCTCATTTTGAGTAACAGAGTCAAAGAGTGTAGTTACCTCATTTCTAGAGTTAGGATTAGGCTCTTTGACTTGCATTAGTTCAGGATCTGGAACTTTCTTTCTTGAGTACACCTGTAATTCTTTTATAGAATCAAGAACAATATTATTTTTTGTTTCATCTTCTGTATTTGGAATGGGTTCAAACTCAAATTCAGTGTTTGATTTGGACTAAAAAAGAAACATGTTTCGACTCAGAAGAATTAATGGGTGAAAATATTGAAGAGGAGGACAAATCAAACAAAAAGAAGTCTTTATCCTTATCTTCCATGAATGAAGTCTCCCTCTGAAGATAAGGTTGAGTAAAAAATTGTTTACTTTCTTCAAAAGTGACATTTGCAGTCACATAGAATTTTTTGGTAGAAGGATGATAGCACTTACACCCTTTCTAAATTGATGAATATCCCACAAAAATGAACTTAATTGCTTAGGATCCAACTTTCCTTATTGTGACTGTGAAGATGAACAAATCATGTGCAATCAAATATCTTAGGTGTGAGGTTGTTTGTGGTATTAAAGTTGGGATAGAATTGTGAGAGTAGTTCCATAGGAGTTTTAAATTCCAAAACCCTTAAAGGTAACCTATTTATAATATGTGTGGCAATGAGAACTTCTTTCCCCCAATAGGATTTGGGTATGTTTGCTTGAAAAAGTAAAGCTCGGGTTGTGGCTAATAAATGACTGTTTTTCCTCTCTACCACTCCATTGTATTGTGGAGTATTAACACAAGATGATTCATGGATAATCCCCTCCCTTTGGAAATAGGTAGATAAACTCTGGTTGAAATAGTCTTTTGCATTGTCAGACCTAGCTTGATTTTCACTCCAAATTGATTTTGGATCATACTTTGGAGGCTTAAATTTTTTTTCCTAGGAAGAGCCTAAAACTGTGATACCATGTGGAAAAACTAAAAAATAAAACTGTATAGAAAACTAAGAGTAAAACTAAATGTGTATTAAAAAATTGCTCATAAAGAATTATACAAGCACCTTAAATTTATATACAACTAATTAGTGGGTAAACTAGAAAACTAAATCTTTCTAAAACTAATCCTATAATTGAGGGATTGTCTATCTTAATTTTTTTTACTTAATTCTAGGGATACAAATACATAATTCTAGAGATACAAATATAAATATGCAGATTACAAGATTACAATCAGTTGTAAATAAGAGTTTTCCCACACTTCTAAAAAACTTTGAAGGTTGTTGCCTTGCTCCATTAGGAAGTTAGAGGAAAATTTTCATTAAAGCAGAAGAATTACATTGAGGAAAATTGAAGTTAAACCAGCTATCATAATTTTCATCAAAATGGTTTCTCTAATTCACTCCCTTATTGGCTAAAAATTCCTACTAATGAGTTTGTATTGAGGGATCTAGAATTTTAAACTTATAAATCAAGTAATCCAATATATTTTGATTTTCCACTATTTTGATTTTCCACTTTTTAGTGATTAGTATGGTATGAGCTAGAAAATAGTGGAGCAAGAAGATTCAAAACTACTACCTAAAATGATTCCCTTTTTTAGCCTTTCATACAGTTGACCCTAGAGTTATGGGATATAAGGCCTAGTTTGTTGTTATTGTTGTTGTAGTATGGTGTGAGCTAGGAAGAAGAGGGCTGTAATTTATGGGAGTGTAAGCCTCTAAGAGGCTTTTGAGCTCATTTTTTTATTATGTAAAATGACATTACAAAAGCCAATTGCATGGATTTCTTTGCAAAACCTAGCCATTACTTGGCCACAAATATTAGCCGTGAATAGTCTCTTTTGTGGCTAGCAGAGCTTTAAATAGTTTTGTGTAGGTATTGGCATCATTCCTAACGCCTGCCTTTTCATGCCCTTATCATATAATAGCTACTAGCACCGCACATTTGGTTAGAATTTCACTTTTGACTCCTCTCTGACTTCACCAAACAAATTATGTTTTGTTCTTTGAGGAAGAGGGAAATATGCATCCAAGAAGAAGAACTGACGCTGGCATGCATAGAACATCTTGAATAGTAGAAGACCTATGAAGAGGCCATTTTTATTGTCCTAAGGCTTCTTACTGAGATGCCATTTTATTTTTCTTTAAAGGATGATATAGAGATATGCCCATTTGAAAAGGAGATGACTAACAATTAGTTTCCTGGGAAGAATAATTATGAAATATGGTGCCATTTCAGTTGGAAACGGTTTTAAGGACTTTCAGATTTGCCTTTGGGTAAAGCACTGGGAAATGCAATACTAGGATTGAGGATTTATTGTTTTATTTATTTATTTATTCTTACAACAGGCCCCTGGCTTCCTGGAGTGTAATGGATGAGATCTGAAAACTCCCAATATAAATCCTAGTGTTTCACTGCACTAAAGAAGCCATCAATGGAGAAAACAGTGAAAATATAAAATGATAAGAAAAAGATCTGTCGATGGACAGTTTGATGCAATAGTCTTGCTAAAAGTGACTGGTGTTATGGCATGGCACTAGATATTGGCCGAGGGATCACTTGCGCAAGTTTTAGAATAAGGTTATTTGTATGGTACATCTATTTCTATAACTTCAATATTGGAAACGATTAGATTGGATCATCAAATTGTAAATGCCTTACCATTAGAAAGTTTGGTATGTAAATTGTATCATATATGGATCAAATTAGTCTCTTGCTCAAATTGCTTTCAGATTTTGGTAATTAACTTTTGTTACCCTGGAATGAAACAGAATTCCTCTCAACAGTTGGTGGGTGGAAATTTAGTTGGAGGATAGCACTTTCCTTGGCTTACAAGTGCAAAATTTTTTCCTCATTTTCTGTTTGCAACTTTATTTTTGTACAGGCTGTTGAAATATCGAGCAATGAGTATGAACCTTTGGAAAAGGACATATTGTATGCTGAGGGAGTTACTCAGAGCAACGGTTTAGCTTGCATTGAATTCTCATTTGATGATAGAAGCCCCATGTCTGAAATATACAATGAAAACTATGAATGCCCTCCTTCCTTGACCAAGTAGAATCTTGTCCTTTAATTTTTTTACTCATTTTTTACCAATGAAATATAATATTATGTGAAAGTAACTGTTCTATGATATAATTTTTGTTGGCACTTTCTATTGCCTTAGGTACCAACTGATTCGAATAAATTCCAAGGGACTGCATGATGGTTGCAAATGGCTGGAAATGTTTGAAGACGTAAGGGCAGTGATCTTCTGTGTTGCTTTGAGCGATTATGACGAGATGTGGTGCCGTGGTACAGGCCCTATCTGTAATAAAATGGTGGCAAGCAGAGAAATGTTTGAGAGTCTGGTAAGGCACCCTTCTTTTAGGGACACCCCTTTTGTGCTTTTGCTGAACAAATATGATGCCTTCGAAGATAAGATAAATCGGGTTCCATTGTCCACTTGTGACTGGTTCAGTGATTTTAGGCCCGTAAAGCCTCATCACAACAACCATGCGCTGGCCCAACAGGCATACTATTATGTGGCAGTGAAATTCAAGGAGTTGTATTCTTCAATATGTGGCAGAAAATTGTTTGTTTCGCAGACTAGAGGCCGAGAACGTGCGTCAATTGATGACGCATTCAAATATGTAAGGGAGGTGCTCAAATGGGATGAAGAGAAGGATGATAATATCTACGAAATCAATGGGGATGATTCTTTTTACAGTACTGAAATGAGTTCTTCTCCCTTTATCAGGCAGGAATAATCCTAATATTCACAATGCCAACAGTTTGAATTGAAAGATTTGAGTCTTCTATTTGATACAATATTTTCTACTAGATTAACTTGGCAAGGCGGTCTGATGTGGAATGTCACTTCGGTGGTGTCATAGATTGTGCAGCGGCTTGAACATCTTGGGGTTGGGTACCAAAGTGGCAATGATTGATAACATTTCCATGCATATTTCAGTAACTTTTGTAATAATTTGTACATCTGTATAGGAATAAAGGTAGCCTATTCAATCAATTTTAATTAGGATGAGATCCTATGTGAATAAATTTTTTTTTTTTTACCAAACATAAAGCTGTTGCAACCTTGGAATCATATTTATCTTGTTGATTTATTTATGTATATTTTAAACTTCTACTATTCTTTCCTTAGACAATATGACTTAATTTTGCTTTCTCATCTGAATAAATTTTTTTTTTTACCAAACATAAAGCTGTTGCAACCTTGGAATCATATTTATCTTGTTGATTTATTTATGTATATTTTAAACTTCTACTATTCTTTCCGAAGACAATATGACTTAATTTTGCTTTCTCATCCATTGTTTAAAGGAAAGGAACTTAGTTTAAAATTATTTTGTTTTCTCGAAGGCTTTCAGCCTTAACTTTCAAATGGCAGCAGTTGAAACCTATAATGATATTTTTAATCATTTTAATCAATAAGATTTATTTTGTGTTAATGTATTAATAATGGAAGTAATATCATAAAATAAGATTCAATATTAAAGCTACAAAAGTGAATAAATTTTATTATGACAATATATGACTCTACAAAAGTGGATGAACTTTGAAAAAATAGTTTGACAAAAGAGGTTATCTCGACAAATTATTTTTATAAAAGTTTAGTTCGATAAAAGAGCTCATCTTAACAAATTACATTTATAAAGCCCCAATTCAGTAAAAGAGCTTAACTCAACCAAATTTCTTTCATAAAAGATAATCTTGACTAAAATGTGGCTTAGTTTGGCCAAATTGTTTGTCACAAAAAGATTGGTTAGACGAAATTTCCTTTATAAAAGATCAGTTTGGTCAAAATACATTTATAAAAGCTTAGCTCGATCAAATTTCTTTCATTTATTTATTAGCTTAACCAAATTTTATTTATAAAGGCTTAATTGGACCAAATTTCCTTAAAAATGAACAACTTAACCAAAATTTTTTCATAAATGATCAGCTCAGTTAAATTTCTTTCATCAAGGATTAGATAGGTCAAAATATCTTTATAAAGGTTCAGCTAGGTCAAAATGCCTTTATAAAGGATTAGCTTAGTTAAATTTATTTCATAAAGGATTAGCTTGACCAAATTCTTTCACAAAGGATCAACTCGACCAAAATACCTTAAAAAGGCTCAGTTCGACCAAACTTCCTTCATTAAGGATCAATTTTAACATTTCTTTTATAAAGATCAATTCAGCCAAATTGCCTTCATAAAGTTTCAACTTGACCAAATTTCTTTAAAAAGAGATCAGCTCGACTAAAATGCCTTCAAAAAAGCTTAGCTCGACCTTTATAAAAGATCAGCTTGAACAAATTTCCTTCATAAGAATCTATAAACACTCATCTATGTTCGAGGTCAATCAGACTCTGTTTTTATTATTATTATTTTGTTATTAATATTAGTATTATTTTATTATTGTTACTAGTACAATATGATATATTATTTTATTATCATTACATTATCATACTATATTTTATTATTATTATTGTTATTATTATTTTATAGTATCTTATTATTATTACTATTATATTATATTATTATTATAGTATATTACATTATTATTACTACTACTACTACTATTATTATTGTTATTGTTGTTGTTGTTGTTAGCCTTGAATTGATCATTATTTTGAAATGACAAAACATTAAGCTAAATAAGTTGATCAAGATTTTGAAAAAGATTTATTTAGTACATGTTCTTAAGTTTTATATTTTGGTACTAAATAAATAATATGATTTTCAAAACATAAACAAACATTTCTTTGTTTTCATATTTCTTAAACCAAATCTACCTTTAAAGATTATTTATTTGAGCTTAAATGAAAATTTAATTATTTTTTTTAAAATGAACTTATTCATTTTGGACTTAATACAATTTTGACAATATTGGTTTTGAGAAATAGATTAACTTAAAAAAGCTAATTTACAAGAACAAAATTTTTTAACATTAAAATTATTTTATTTTTTTTGTATTAATTCATAAAGTTTTAATATTTGAATTTTATATGGTTGAAAAGCTCTTTGAGTCTACTTTTTAATGGATCAAACAAAATCAAAATCCAAATTTTCTAAGAAAAGATTTTGAATTTTTACTAGACACTTGGTTGTTGTCTAAAAACTGCACAAGAGGTAACTTTAAAAATTCACTATAATTCTCACACAGTGAATTAGGTGATGAACTTTATATAGATAGAAAGCCCTTTAAGTCTAGTTTCTAAATCTTCAAACGGTTTGTGATTTGGATTTGTATAACTTAAGTTATGGTTAAATTAGTGAGTAGAGTACAAAACAAAAAATAACCACCTAGCTTGGACAAGATCGATCCCCTTAGGGAAAGGATCGATTGCTTTTTTATCCAGAAACGAATTTTTTGTTGAAATGGCAAGAAGGGATCAATCACCTTATGTAGGGGATCGATCACCCCCTTAACCAATCGATCCCCTACAAAAAGGGATTGATCGTTTAGGCTATTTTCAAGCGCAAATTGGTTCAAAACATAAACCAATCGATCCCCTCATGGAAGGGATCGATTGGGTCTAGGCAAAGACATATCCAATGGCTATTTTATCAAGCTTTCAATGGCTACTTTCACTTTCCAAGCATTTCCAATGGCTGTTTCTTTAATTTCTCTATAAATTGGGCACTCCAATACTCCAAGAAAATTGACGAATCAAGAGAGCAAGAGCCAACAAGTCATATTTTTATTCTCTCAAATAATCAAGAGTTTTTAGAGCTTCAAAGCCTATATCTTTGTATTTATTGTATCCAAATTATTTTTTTTGTTCATTCATTATTTTCTTGTACTTAAACTTAGCAAACACTTAGCCTTAGAGATGTTGTTCTATTGTTTGCAAAATTACCTTTGATATACAATGGTAGAAGAGAACAAGAGGTAAGGTATCTTCTTAAGAGCTTTGTAGTGAGATTAGGTATAATACTACAAAGGGTGGAGGTTTCTATCTTAAGCCTTAGAAAGAAAAAGATAGGTTGTAATTTTCAATTCAAGAATAGTGGATTGAAGCCTTGGTGTGGACAACCAAGAAGAGAGGATGTAGGTGCCTTGTGGAGAAAGACCAAACCTCTATAAATTATTATGTTTGATTTCTCTACCCCTATCTCCTTACCATTTATTATTGTTTATATTTGATTTTTGGTTCGTTAATTGTTATTGTTTGCATTATATTTTCATAAAAAATGTTTATTGTTTTAATTTTCATTCAACTATATTGAAATCATTGTTTGGAAAAAATTTAGAGAAATCTAATTCACCTCCCTCTTAGATCACCATCTCACCTAAAAAGCTAACAATTATTATTATTATTATTATTATTATTATTATTATTATTATTATTATTATTATTATTATTCTTCCTCTTCTTCATCTTTTTTTTTCTTTCATTTTTTGCACAATCTGTATTTGAACAAAGGAAATTGAAATTTCTAGTCAACTAAATCTGAGGAATCCAATCTACATTCAGAATCAAATAAAAAGGTTTTTTGAATTCAATCTAGACAAATTAGCAAAGATCTAGCCTAAAATCATGCTTGGGCAGAATCCTATCCCAGGATTTAAAACTGGATTGGTTTTGTATGATACCTAGAATTTCTACTAAAACAACCTATAAATCGGATACAAAACAATGGAACAAGACATGGAGGGAAAAATTTTGTGTTTAAGCTTCTAGGATTTTGGGTTTAAGTCTTTGTTGTTGAGATTTTTGGGTTTAGTTATCGAGAATTTTGGATTTAGATTTTTGGATTTGATTTGAAGTTTCTGGGTTTGGATGTGAGTTTCTGGGGTTAAAACTAAATTTTTGGAAGGAGTTATGGAGAAATTTGGAAAATCTAGATATTTCTTGGATTTTTTTGGAAAAATTGGTTTTTGGGATGAACATTTGAATTTTTTGATGAATTTTCTGGCGATGTTTAAATTTTTTGATGGGATTCAGACAATTTTTTCATAACTAATGAATTTTTCCAGTTTTCGATGATATTTTTTGGAGGATTTTAAAAAGAAAGGAGAGAGAATCGGGGCTAAAGAGAAAGGGCATGAGGCTTCTAAAGCAAAAACGCAATACTTAGCTTATATAGGGTACCAAAACAACATCATTTCTGAGTGCCTAGATCTACGCGTAACCCGAATAGGACTCGTGCATCACTCATAGTTTGAACCGATTCGATTGTAAATTTTTTTTATTTTAATTTTAATTTTTTATTTTGATTTTGATTTGATTTTTAGTTTTTTATTTTATTTTATGCATTTTATTATGTTATTGTTTATTTTATGCATTTTATTTTACTGATTTTTATTATTTATTAACTTATTCTTTATTGAACATTTTGCAAATTTTTTTAAAAAACAAAATATTAACAATAATAATAAATGAATAAATAAACCTTACCAAAATAAATTCATGAATCCTGCCAAACTATTGGAGAATTTTTATAGATTTAAATTTTATGGAATCCACCAAACTATTGGGCATTTCCATAAATAAATTTTAAAGAAATAAAAATAATTTTTATTCTCTATACTACTGGAGGATTACTTCCTAAATTAAGTCTTATCAAACTATTGAAAGATTTAATGAACTTTTTCAAAAGAATACAATTTTTATAAATATTTTCAAATAAAATCTCACCAAACTATTGGGAGATCTATCTCAAAATAAATCTTACTAAACTATTGGAGGACTTTACTAAATAAAATACACTAATAAATTTGATGTCGAAGCCTCTTCAGGATAGGACACTAGTCTCAATAAATACTCTTGATGTGAGAGAATTATCTTAAACTGCTACCAAAGTATTAGAGTAATTTTAAGATTAATTTTTAATATTAAATATTTTGGTAAATTATAAACATATTTAAAGCATGGATAATTTAGAATCAAACTGGTACCATTATTTGGATGGGTGCTGTGAGGGTGCTATAACCTTCCTTATAGTAACCATACCCCTAAACCTAAAATCTGATTTCGTAGATTAAAATTTACTATTTAAAGATACCTAAGTTAATCTTAGGACTCTTATTTAAATGTGACAGATTTGATCAGGTGGCGAATCATACCTAAACAAAAAAAATTGGTGGCAACTCCTAGAAATTATATC